AGCGTTCCACAAGTGTGGAAATACTTTGAAAACAATGCTGTATTATGTATTGTAATGTATATCACTTTCAATACTTTACTGGTATAGATAGAGATATAATGATAGTGATGGTGAAAAGATGAACTCCACTGGTTTGGCAAAATTATTTGGGATACCTAATCAACATACTAAGTATTCAGTAAGAATATTAGTCTTTAGAACAGGTTCAGAGAGGCTAGAGAGAATTAATTTAAAAAATGTACAACTATAATAGTAAATTGTTAATTTGGTTGAATGGGCCCAATAATAAGCATGTTTAAAAGGTGAAACACCCACACAGAGGGCATCCTGTTGCAGCTCAGCAGCAGCGGGAATAGATAGCACACATGTGAAATGATAGTGCATGTTGGTAATTCATATAATGGAAAACTAATTCAAAAATTTCTCATGTTAGAATTCAAAGCTCTAACTTAGAAAACCATGCTCTCTTAAGACACTTCTGCTACAATACCCATTTAAATACACTCTTTGCATACATGGTGTAGAGAGATACAGTGTGTAATGTGGACAGACTGACTTGTAGACTGTGTGTTTATAGCAGCAGGTTTGCAAAAAGCCTCTCTCAGTGTTTACCAGGGAGGGCAGATGTCAGGGTTTGCTGTGGAGGAGCAGACACAGCCACATCTGATTAACAATATTATTGTCCTCCTCCACACTGCCATAAAGACTCATCCTCCCCCCTTTCTTTCTTTCTATTTCAGGCTTTGGCAGCATGCTGTCCTGTGGCATGGCTGAACCAGAGTGACACTGCCACCATCCACAGAAACAAAACACGAGTCAAGAGCCAGTAGGTTAAAACAAACAGCAGTCCCTTTTCTTACCAGGCATAAAACATCAGTTATCTACGAAATCATGCTTTCAGTCATACAATTAAATCACACTTTATATTCAAACACACTGCGTACCATTTCTACTGTTTTAGCATTATGAAATATATGTGATTTGAATCATTAGCATTATCATTAGCATGTCTGCAACAAGTGAAACGCCATGGGGTAAAAGTTACTCACATCTCAGCTTCAAAAAAGACATCAGAATATAAATCACGAGTCTCAAAGGAGTGTGTCTGTGCACTCATATATGCATGCAGAGTAAACCTGCGCATGAGCCTGAGTGTAAATTTGTGTTTGATTCTAACCCTCTCATCATTCCTCTGTACATTTTGATTGGTGATTACTTTTTTTATTTCCGTCACCACACTATCACAAAGGCAGTAACCTTGCACGTTTCCATGCTGCTTATTGAAGACAAACAATAAACCACTGGCAGATATCAATGGCGGAGATGAGAACTCGGGTGCCATATCTACTGGGACTGCCTCGCAAACCTGCCTCTGCCTGCGCTTCATCTCCAGCAGCACCTCTCACTCTCAATTATTTGGCTGCTGTCACAACAAATCAATCAAATTACCGCTCCAGGACTGTGTGCAGCTGCTCCTATTGCATTGCTAGTTGCATTAGCTTTGAAATGTATGAGGTCTACATTTTATCACTGTTATTTATTTAATGCAGTTCTCTCCCCTGCGAGTCATCTTACAACCACAGCAAAGTTAAATCATTAAAGGACGACGTGGAATACATACTGCTTGAGAACACTTCAGATTAAACAGCGATAAGGGAGAAATGATGGGTTTGGCCTCTATTGTGTTACAATGGCAGATGTTGATGTGAGGAAATTTGAACTTCTACTGCTACTACTCATCTACTGGCTAAATACAGACAAAAACAACAACTTATTTCTGTTCTTGTGCTAAAATGATTTGACCAATATACACATGGGAAAAGGAATCCCACAACGAGCAGCTAGTGTGGCTATAACAAGACCAAAAAGGATGTTTGAGGTCCTCTAGCTCTGATAATGTAATGGGACACAGAGGCATTCTCACAGCAGACTGAGGTTAAGTCAGTGGCCCGGCCCGGTGAGCTCACCTCTTAAAGGAGCAGCAGTCAGCTGAGGCAGAAGAGATGCAGCCTGACATGTCTAACTAGTGTGGAAACATTCGCCTCCTCCCCCAGGAGCACACCCTTTGGTGGTGTAATGAGCAGAGCGATTTCCTTAATTTGTATCATGCCAACACCCGCCACCTGCAAACGACACCGCTGAGTGTTCGCATCAGAACGGCAGATATGCTTTTGATTGGCACAGACACTGGGTCTCATTACCCATTGTGGGATGCCGACCTTTATCAGGAAGCTTGAGTGCTGCTTTGTGTTTCCCATGGACGAGAACAGAGGAGCAGTGCTCTCACCTCGCCATTAGAACTCAGCTCTGTGATGTGTTGCACTGCCTGGCTTTCTGCTGAGAGCAAATGAGATGGAATATGTTTATTAATATGAAAGAGCTCCAGTAAACTAGCTTCTTGCACTACCTCTGAGTGAGTCATAGAGAAGAGGAGTAGACAGATGAGACTTTGTTCTGCTTCCTCCCAATGAGCATTACATGTACAGTGCTTTGATACATCTAGTTTTACAAGTATAGTAATCATGCTTTGTTATAGAATTGTGTCAAATGAAAACCAATTAAAATGTAAAAGGCACAATATCCAACAACAACAAAATGTTGTTGTAGATGATCTGTCTGATCCAGCCATGCATATTCATGATCAAAAAGGTAAAAAGTTATGATTTTTTTAATCATATAAGGCATCATATTTACAAACCTCTAGCATGACCCAACCTAGTTTTGAAGTCAGCTAGAATTGTGTACACTCTGTCACAAAAGATAACTTTCTGCCTTGTTTAGTTTCATTGGGAATTTGTTTTTACTGTATGTTTGCAGGCATAAATCATTCTGACAAATAACCAGTTACACTGGTGCCTGTGTTTACTGAGTCTGCCACAAGATGCTGCTCAGTTTTATTTAAGCAACTGCTCCAACTTTATAGCACAACCCCATTACAGTGATAGTTATTCATCACAGTCTGAAAGAGCTGCCCTCCTAAAGCTCACAGCAGCCCAGCCGGTTCCCCTCTGTCAACATCCATTTTTACAGAGCCAGCTTTGATTAGTATGATCACACTGTGAGATCAAAGTGCTACTGTTACTGCTTGTTCTGATTTAGGTTTTTCATTTAATTTTTCTAATTAAAGCTCAATATAACAATATATGAGAACAATTTGACCTACTGTACCTCATAAAACACTGCATTCTTTCAAATGGGAAAAGCCTGAACACTTTAGACTGTTAGTGTGCCGACTCACACGTTAAGTAGACAATTTCTCCGCCCTCAAACACCCATTCCCCAAGACAAACAGTCTTATTAGCTGGTCATTAGCCGCCTCATTACATTTAAATACATCCGCTGGCTTGGCTCATCCTGGAGTCTCATTACTCTGCCGCGCAGTTGTCTTGTGTCTGATCTGACACTAATTAGCTGGCAGCATGAGTGCTGTAAAGCACACTTGCTCCTGAGGTTGTGAAACAAGCCGACTGCTCCCCAAGCGACAGCGCTTCGCTGTATTATATGTGTAATTAATCAGGCCTGGATGCCCAGAGCAGCTGGGAGGGGAAGCATATGGGGGCGTGGGGGCAGAGGCCAGAGTTGCAGTTGTCTGACAGAGGTGCTGTGCCAGCAGGCCTCATTCAGCAGAGCTGTGATGAACTCAGACAGGGGAGAGTGGAGGAGCGTCATGTGGCCAGAGGGGCCCGGGCACAGTCAAGACATTTAGCTTCACTCGTGACTTGTGTCACTTACTCTCCATGGAGGTCTCTTCAGATAAGAGGACGTGCAAACAGGCATTCTGTCCACATGCTTATAAAAAGATCTGCCACAGAGGCATTTCTCTGCAAGTTTTTTTCCACTATCTCTCATGGACGGGGATTTTTATCAGGACATTGGATTTCAGACTGTCTGCTGGTTTGTTTGGCAGTGGACAATAAGAATGACTGAGAGGTGCTTGCTCTGGCGTTCTGACACACTGACAATGTGTGTCGATCACTTCATCAGATCACTGAAGCCCCTCGGTTGTCCCCTCTCCACTAGAAAGAAGATGTGTTGAAGTGTGACTCATATGGGCCTTCTGGGGCCATTACCATCCACTGCTGATGGATACATCGAAGGGCTCGCTGGATAGATGCGGGTTTATTAAAAGCTCTGCCCACAGCCATGGGTGCAGTTATTTATGCATGTTTTTGTCCATTAGGCTTCTACCTTCGCATTTCCTCACTCAGGGCATCTGTCCATCCATTTCCCCACATGAAGGGAAGCTTCCCTGCACTTTGTGCCATGCCGACATTATTGTAATCTCCATCCTAAAAACACTGCTTTACATGAAGCCTGGCATCTTTTTACATTAGTGCAGCTCACTCATCCAAGATTTATGACTGACAGTTTCCCCATCCATCCCTCAATTTAATGGCATAAAAGAGACAATGTTTTAAACATTAAAATGAAAACCATTTACAACTACGATCAAAAGAGAACATTTGGGCATTAAAGTTTAAAAGACAAAGATAAGTAGAGCCATGTGGATTAGCCGATGAGGTGGAAAAAAGATAAAAAAGAAAAGTACAGTGCACTCATATGAACAGGAAAGAGGCATAAAGTGCTTTTGCGCTGCACTGCAAAACAATGACCTGTAATTAATATGGCCGATCCTTTGGCTTTCTGGGATACAAACCCCTGAAGGAATTCTTACCTGGTCAGTAGCTTTGTCAAGCATTTTTACTGAAGAAAAAACAAAAAACTGTTCCATATCATACAGTGGATAAACAGCAAGCCCTTATTAGGAGCAACACTTGTTGTATTTATTACTAGTAACAATTCCTACTGTCTCATCATGTATAATACAGAAAAACTTCCATTACGGTAACATGACCATGAAACAAAGGATTTAAAATTTTGGTGTCTTTTTGGAACACCTATCAGCTTCCTAGAGAAACTGAGTGCACCTGCTTCCTGGAACATCAAACACATGTTTTTGTTTTTCTGCAGCTGCAAATCCATTTTACCTCCCTTCTTACCTTGCAGGTTCTGGAGGGGGAGTGTCATGATACCACCTGCAGCTGCAGCTGCCACCAGGCTCTGGATGTTGGCCGTGGGCAGGGAGAGGACCAGGCCCTGTTGCCCGCCCAGATGTCCACCTGCATTGAAGGGGATGAGGATCGGCTGGTTCATGCCTGGCGTTGCTCCGGACATCACGCCACCTACTGCACTGGCGAGCTGCTGTGCCACCAGGAGAGACTAGAAGACACACATATGAACAGATTCATGCATAGAATCACTGGAATTTTAAATGTATCACCAAAAATATAATCAGTTGCAATATACAATACATGGAAAAATAGTTCTTTATTTTATTGTGTTATCCTGGACATTTTTGTAGCTGTGTGTAACTTAATGTTCTTCTTGTCATGGTATCAAATAAACAGAAAATCTAATTTATTTTGGGGGTTTTCCGAAGGTTTAGATACTTTGAGAAAAATCATGCCACATTTTAAAAACACACTGCAACTGCCACTTTTTTACTGTAAATGAAAGTCTAAAATGTGTTTGTTTAAAATAATAACAATAATTATATTAATAACCTCCACCAAGGTGGTTATGTTTTTGCCTGCGTTTGTTGTGTTTGTTCACAGTGTAACTCAAAAAGTTATAGATGGATTTGAATGAAATGTTTTGGAGAAGTAGGGTATGGGCCATGGTACATTATTTTGGTGGTGATCCATGTCATCATCTTAATCCAGAAATCTTTTAAAGGATTCTTCACCATTGTGAGATAGGTGCAATTTCAATATTTTTGCTTCTAACTCCATACATAATGCAGAAAGAACAAAAATTGCACAATAACATCATAAGATCTACCACACACCAAAGTCTGATCCGAGTAATATGTGGGAAGTAGTGATACCGAATGTTCAAATTTATAGGGCTCACAGAAAACTTGCTACTATGACACAACACATGATGCGATAGACTAAGATCAAATTCTAGCTCAAACTCTGCTGACTCAGCAAGGTGTCAACAAATTTGATATATCTTCAAAAGTTACTGAGCAAGATCCTGAAGAAAACCACCATTACTGAAATATAGTTTTTCTTGTACAACTTTCAAAATAATAATGTTATCAATGTGATTTCAAATGCTAGGGGTAGGTTTTCATGGTCAATGAATAATAGTATGATGGTTAAACAATCATATTGCTCTTAGGTTGAATGGCATTATGAGGAGACTGTTCTGCATTGGCAGAGATTTTCACTCTCTAAGTGCTGCCTGTGCTTTGCAAGGATTTGCAATCAGAAGACACTATTATTTTTTATAATGTAGCATATTAAAGTAGCATCCTTTTCTCTTTACACAAAGCTGTTAATGCTAAATATCCCATTAGAAACTTTCTGTTTCTCTAGTATTGGGAGATATGGTTAAAACACATTTTACAATATTATTGAGGACATATCTCAATAGGAAGAGATATCACTCTGTAAAAAAATTATAAAATATTGTATAAATAATCTAACTAATGAACTCCATTGATAAGGGTTAAAACTGTATGTGTAAAATCAAACATTTTATTAACTATTTTTGTTTGTTTTTTTATTACAGCTTGCTAAGAATGGTTTTAACTAGAACACCAGTATTTTGTTAGATGATAACATTTTTCTATAATCCATACTTTAAATGATAATACTGAGTTACTGCTCAGTCCTACTTGTGTATGCTGCAGAATACCTGTTTTACAGAAGTAAAATACAGGCTAAAGTCATCACATTTAACTCATGAATATACACTATTTCATGCCCTGAGATGCTTAATTGAGACCCGATGTCACAAGCCCGACATTAATCAATGTGTTTTGATGAATGCATTTGTTTTACAGCTGTGTTTTACAGAGTGACAGTCAAAACATACTGCCGTTGGTACTGACAGAGATCAAATCCGATCTCTGTGTAAGAGCTGAGAATTTTTCTTTCACAGAAATGCAGAGTGATTTATGTCTCATCCCACTGAACAAATCCCTGGTACCACAGAAATGTGCCTGAAATACACAGTGAAAAGAAAAAAAACGTAGCAGTACTTTAGTCTTTTGATGAGGGATATAACACATCACTCTCATCTCTTCATGTATCCATTGATTCATATTAGTTAAAGTGGAATCGGTGCAGTCATACTCGTAGAGGAAAAGATATGTTATCAGAAGTTTCACTCTGAGATATTTTGCACAGTAGAAGATCTCTTCAAATGTATTTTCCGAGAAAGCGGGTTTGGAAATATACCAACACATTTTTCATTTCAGTTCTAAGCCAGAAGTGGGAAGGTTTGTACCATGGTTGAAATCTCCATGAATACACATGAAATGACATCTTAAATTTCATTCATTCTCATAAAACTTATTTCAAATTATGTCAGCTTTGGAGCATGTCATACAGAATTTGCAAAGGAGGTACAAAACAAGGGATGCTGCAAAATCCCCCAAAATTACCATTCAAGCATTGAATTGAATTGTTTGGAATAAGATAATAAAAGTACATTGTCAGCTTGTGTCGTGTCCACGGTAAAGCAGCCTTTAGACATCGCTAGGTAAGGGCCGGGCTGTTGACTCCTCCACTGTGACTTTAGTTCACAAGGCTTTAACTCCAGTTGTCAGCTATCTGCTTCTGTTTTGCATGGTGTGTCTGCAGCTTGCACAGGATGCATAGCAGGCTGAGTGGTACGAAGAGCCCACCATACTCCCAAGTCTGGTGCTCCTAGGTGACAGGCGTGTCACTGTGATAACCCTGCATAGTGCAAAAGGCCTGCACCCACAACGACATACGTGATTACAGTTTCAAAGGTATGAGGTTACATGGGTTTAAAGCCACAAAATATCTTCTATGAAACACAAATGACTACCTGTTTGTGTTTCTAAGCTGTTAAAGGAAAAAGTTCAGACAGGCAAGTGGCTGACTGAAGTAATCACATGCACTGTATAGAATTCAACATTTGCTTTGAGATGCAACAACAGTGCATAACAAATGACAGTATCTGATGCTTCTGAGAGCATTCAAAATGACACTTGCCATTAACTTTTAAAAAATGAATTAATAATCCGGCAGCTCAAAGAATTCTCAAAGGATGACAACAAAGGCGACGCATTTGTTAGCTGCAAGTGACATGTTTAATCTCGTGTTTTAAACTAAATTTAATCTTGAATCGAAGCAGCATATAATCAAAGACGCTTTTTGAGCATTTCATCTCTGCGTCAAACAAAATGAGATTGCCAAGCTTGACAGCAAAGACAGCCTCACATAGAAGAGAATAACATTAAAAGACAGTTCTACAATTATCAGATGTAGCCCTGATTTATTTATCATTACAGTACAGGCAGCTGTTAGGCACACAGGCAGCTGCAGAGTCTGGAGATTTTTTTTTGTTAAAGCATGCAAGAGCTGTTGGTCTTTTGCTGCTTGTTGTGCCATTTTGAGACTGATTATGATCTTCATCTGAGGTGCAAACACCATACACACAGATCAAAATCAAAGATACAAATAAATATTGCATTAACATACTGTAATTAGTCCCACTCTGCAGCTGCACAGCAAGGTTTCACGACCAGCACAGTATCACTCATCAAGATTTACAAGCAGTTCACCCTCTGCCTTTTTGCCTCATACTCTCACTCCTCCTCATCATAGGTGCTGTTGGAAAGCTGCGATACAGTGCTTGGCAGGCCTGACAGCTGAGTGTTGAGAAGTGGTCTCCCAGGGGCCACACAGATGCACAGAACTGGGAGTGTGTTCGACTCTGGATGGGGAAGCAGCCCCATTCAGGACTGGATGTGGTACCCAGCGTCTCTGCCTATCAGGGGGAGAATAGGCTTTTCTATCTGCTTGGCAGCTCTGGCACTGAGAAATTGCCCATAATCACCCAGATAGCAGACTTTTGTCATCCTAACTGCGAGTGGGAAGGTGGATTCATGTTGGGTAAACTACCATTGGATAATGGTTGTTCGAACAATATCCGGCTCTGGAGTGAGAATCTATCAAAACATATTGATCCTGGAACAGGAGAATTGGGTATGGCATGCGGAGCGCCTTTGTTTCTGAAAAGTGTTAGCTTCACAAAGACTGTACTGACAGCATTAATATATTAGATGGTGACTGCCGCCTGATGCGGATCAGTCTCTACTGCTGCCTGCTTGCGATGCCTTCACTTTTGTGTTTGTTTCGTATCTATTATCAAAACAGTGGCTTTGACCAGGGAGGGTATGTGTAATCAGAAAAGTGCTTTTAATTAAGCTCATTCTTTATCTCCACTCGCAGCAGATTGACGGGGGATTTCTTATCCTGCAACCTACCCAATGAAACTGAACTGCTCTCCTCCTCTGTTTCCACTTTTGTTAATCCTGATGAGAACTGCCTGACACTGAGTAACACTGAGTGCAGGGACAAGGCCTTATTAAAGAGGGTGGAGGAAACCTGATGCTCCGTGTGTGTGTGTGTGTGTGTGTGTGTGTTGAGCAGTGACATTGAGCAACACTAATGAGATAGATGTTCATTAAACATCGCTGAGCCACCAGGCCAATAAATCCATTCAGATAGGACAATGCTTGATTGAGCTATTAACAGGGCTGCAGGCTTGAGCTCTTTGCCCCCCTGCTTGTTTTGACAAGGCCTTTATTGTCAGCTCATTAGTGCTATAACTCAATTACCTCTGAAAATGATGTGTGATGAGAAAATACTTTGTGATTTTCATTTTAGCTGGCAATGAAGCACAGTGTACGATTCAGCGATTGTTTCTTTGCTTCCCATACCACATGTACATTAAGAAAATGAATATAAGCAGGTCAAGGAGGTGATTTCATTACTGAAACTGTCATCCAAAAGCCTTAATTTTACTCTAATTGTGACCAGATTAAACATAACTTGAGGTACAGAGTTAGGTTTGTTGTCAGTCTTTCAAATTACTCTTACTGGTAAAACACTGGAAGTGATTTCTACACACATCTCTGTCAGAAACGGCGCGTGTAATGCGGCCGAAAAGTGTTAGGTGAACTCAATTAAATGGCCAGACGAGGAAGTGTAAAACAAAACCGTCTCTTTATTAAGAGAACCAACGTTGAACAAAAGAAAACCATACAAGACACGGTGAAAACACAAAACTCACATGTCCTTAACAGTCCGAGGTCAGAGCCAGCAAACACATCCAACAGAGGTGATCCAAAATACGTAGTCCAGAGGGAAGTCCGATATCATACACTGTGGCAGTCCGAGACAAGAGGGCAAAGCAGAAACGAATATACCAAGGTAACAGTCCGGGTCAGAAACATAAAATACCAAAACCGAAGAAAATGCTGGAAAGTCAGAGCTGGGGTCTAGAACAATCTGGCAGCGTCCTGGTGGGAGGACGCTGCCTAAATAGAGGTGCAAACAATAATGAAACAGGTGAAACCAATGTGAGTGACGAAGAACGCAAAAAGACCGAAACTAAGGTGAAACAAAAACAGGAAGTAAAGTCAAAATAAAAGCCGGACAGGAAGCAGCGGAACCGAATCATGACAATCTCACGCTGTAGACAGAATTACATTATATCAAATGGGTCAATCCACAGCGAATCCATGAGACGTGCAGTAAGTCCTCTACGTCCTGTAGAGCCATCACATTTTTTTTTACGCTTCATGTCAATTTTTCCTCTCTGCTCTGTTTAGTGAAGCGTAATCTCCACAGTCAGCTCTTTAAATAACACAAATCCGGTTGTTTTATGTTTCTACCGATATCTGTTACGACTGATCAGGCTGCTTGAGTTTCACTTTCTCCCTCTGTAAAGAGCCAGGGAAAATCAATAAATTGATAGGCTACATAAAAACGTGATTTCTTCCTGATGATCGTTCATGAAAACTATGTATGTCCAGTATGTGTTGTTTGTCAGCCTGGAATAGACTTTGTGTCCTGCCGCTGTCCTGCCGACAGACAGAAAGCTGTTCTGATGACTTTAAACACTCAAGATTTGCCGCTCGCTTTCAGTGTGGACTGAACGGAATTACTCTTCAGTAGCACTTATGTCTCGCTTCCAGTGTGTTTTACCAGTTAGGACATGCACAATTTAGCCTGGCTTCTTTGAATGTTTGTATTCTGTACACGATCCTCAGAGTCAACCAAAGAGTCAATTTATTACATTACAAAAGATGACAAAAGGGAAAGAACTGACAGAAAAGTGAACATCAGTCAGCCACAGGACCATTGTCATTTCACATCTGATATTCCAATTCTTTTTCTCTCTGCTCTTCTCACTAGTTTAAAGTGGACGGGACTCATTCGGGAAAAGGTCATGCTACATATTGACATTCACCTTTTATTAATATAAGACAGCCACTTGTTTGGTCGCTGTTCAAACCACATCCAAGCAGTCCTAATGAAGCAGATGCACTTTTTGAGAGTTAAACTTTTAATAAGTGACATCAAAAGATGCCTTAAACTTTGGTGCCTATGTATTAATGAATATTTAATGTTCTAGAGATATGCTTAAGCTTATACTGAATCTGCTTCCTGAAAATCCTGGATTCAGTAGTTCAAACCTTTTAATTAGTTTGCCTAATATTTTATTATGCCAATTTTCCTCTGTAAGCACAACAATAAAAGAGGCTATCTCAACTTTTGTAGTGGGGTTATTTGTGCCACCGGGTGACTGCAAACCTTTTAAGCCTCAATTAAAATGTTAGCCCACAAGTTATCAGACAGCATGTTTGGGTTCAGTTTGTCACAGAGCCTCTCGCTCACCTGTGGACCCATCGGGTATCCTGGATGAGAGTGGCCAAGCTGACTCTGCTCAGAAGGACTGCTGCTGGCATCAGACTGCACCGAACCATCACGGGCCCCTGAAAGAGCACGAAACAGAAATCCATGTGGAAATGTACAAAGAAATTTGAAAACAAAGATTCCACCTTAGATCTACACAGACAGTATGAGTAGATAAACATGCAGAACAGAGCACGTTGTGATGATCCTACACAGGACAGTCTGGAAAGAAGGGGAATTTATATTTACTACAAGTGTTATATCAATAACCACTGTAGCATTGAATAAACTACCAAGCAGTGGAGAGGCTCATTGATAGAGGATGATGCATAATGGCCTCGATTACTGCTGAGAGATAGAGCTCCACCACAAACAGTGGGGCCATATTATTCAGCCATTTACATCACTGAGCATCACTCATCAAAACCCACTCCGTGACTTGACTCTGAGCCTACAGCCATGAGACACAAGTAGACCTGTTCGCCATGAAGGCAGAGCAGAGTGGAACAGGCAGACAGATGATAATAAGCTTGGTAATGGCAGCAGAGAAAGCAAAGGACACAGACAATTAGATATCATAGCAATCCCTATCTCACAGAATCTCCCAACAGTGCACCGAGTGTGGGCTGCTCTGAGAGGTCTGAAAGGCTGCTCTGAACCTCACCCTTTGACCTCGACGATATTGAGATCGCATAACGGCTCACTGTTGACACAGAGGCTGGTGGAGTGCAAAGACTAGTAAAGAAAGAACTGTTGGATGATATCTTTCACCAGAATGACTGCCTAAAAGAAAAATACCTTAGACTAAAAATTATTTTATCTTATTAACTGCAAGGACCTGTTTGAAAGAGCAGAAAACTGGCTGAAAAAGTTAAATGTGAAGAGCATGTAGATCTTACTAATGAAAGAAAACTAACAACAGTCTTGTGAATATGGACACTGGTGAAAAAAGACACTACAGCAATATTCAGGTTGATTTCCCTTCAAAAAAGTGATGTTTTTGTTTGAAATATGTTCACGCTCTAAGAACAATGTAAAACAAATTGAAAACACCCTGTAAACAAGGTACAATACACAAAGCAAAGTCACATTGATTTTCACGAGACTTCAAAAAAGAGAGTTGATAAGATTTTGTATTAACACGGTTCAAAGGATAAATGTCTTTTGAATAAGTTTGTGTTGCACTGCAGAAATATAATCTGGCAAAACTATGTTCTATTATAAACAAGGACCTCTGTACTCTGAGTGACAGGCTGTCAGTACAGTGGATAATATCTTCTCACTGATTCATCTCACTCAGGTGTGACAATGACAGCCTCAGGTTTTTTTTATTGCTGCCAACTGCACTGCTTTACAACATGAGCCTTAACCTGGATGCACATAGCTTTGATTGACTTTCAAACAGTGTCCCAAGGTTGCTACACTTTTTATTTGGAGCATCTTTATTAAGTGATCTATAGATTTTCTACTCAGATTTTTTTTTGGTGTGCTCAGTTAAGGCGGCTCATCAGAAGTCAGCCTTGCATTTACAGTAATAATTTCTACACACTGAAAAATGTGCAAAATAACACTATGTTAATCACAATATAATCACTGCTAATATTATTTAGTGACAAAGAGGTGAAAGCATTTTTTCCTGAAAATTACTTACATAATTATTAAACCATTATTTAATCATTTGACCTCCACTAAGTGCAATGGGGTTCTACATTAATACAACATTGCCTGTTAAAGTTAAAATGGTTTTGGTTATTTAACATCTGAGATTTCTGTATTTATTTGTTTTCTTTGGTCATCTTACTAGTCTGAAGCTGTTCATAACATCTCACACCTCTATTGCACCAATCAGGATACAGCAACATCTGAATCAAAATGTGGTAAAAATGGGTGGGTTGTTTGGCCATTTTCTATAAAATCTGAACAACACACATCCACACAATCCTGATGAAAGAGATTAGCTTTTGAGTGGAATCTTAAATACTTTATAAGAATTTTCTCTTCTGAATGTAAACTTTAGATTTTTTTTTTTATTGAGTCAAGAGTATTTCATGTTAAAGCTTTAAGTTGAGAAACTGAAACAACCTTTACCCACAATTGTTAAGTCAATTTACACATAATACAGTAAAAGTGACTGATTTTAGAAACATCAATGTCATCATTTTGATCATATTACAAAAAGGTTATGTGCCATCTGGAATTTAATAAGCATGATCCTGTTTTAAATCTATGATTCAAAACCCCTGACAAAAAAGTAAATGAAGCATCTTTTTAAATGTAGTCTCTTCATAAAACACCTCTCCCCTTGAATAAAGTGGATTCTGTAGATGAAGTCAAGCCAAACACGTGCAAATGCGCTTGAAGGCCACACAGCCTCAATAAACCTCACAATGTTGGAAATGAATTTAAAAAATGTAACCACATTTCCACTGTAAGATCGATTTTCTTAAATGGAATATTGCAGCTTTTAAATAAAGAATAAAGCCCTGATGCGGTGTGTCTTTTTATTCATGGGTGAATAGGCTTTTTTTTCTGATAAACATACAGGGCATGTAGCGGTTTTACACTCCTTTTATAAAAGCTTCAGACAAAACGTACTATTGAATAGCCTTGCCAAGCAAGATCTCATTGCCTGTCAAGAATATTTATGCATTATATTTTAAACTCCACTCTGCCAACTAAAATCATTTCATCTTTACATAAAATCCAAATAATTGGTGAATGGCATGACCTAACAAATGAACCTCAAGCATTTGATGGTTGTAAAAGCCCAAGGGAAAGCCTTCTTTTCTAGCTGGTTTCTACGTCCGACTGGCTGCCCCTGCTTCTCGATGAAGGTCCTTTCGCTTATCAGCCTTGCAATGCAGTGGACATTTTGACAAGCCAGTCTATTTTCGGCAATTATTTCACCCATTATGGATCACACAGTGCATAGCCCCACCCTGTGCTCTCAGTATGTGGAATTAAGATCAATCTGAGAACACAACAAAGACCTTGTGGCTCCATTACAGTCAATATTAAGCTACAGATAAAGCACAATATCATCATAATCTGTTAAAAAATTTCAGATTTCCTTGGAAAACTGAAGAGCGGATATTATCAGACATCCTTTTACTGAATTTCATTAGGGGTATTGTCTCTAAGTATTGTCTCACTTTCGGGCTTATCAAATTAAAGCAATCTCTTTTCCCCAGACATGAAACAGTCTGATTTTAATTTACAGCAACTCAAACTTTCACAGCATCTCAGAGGCAATTGTGCAAATGCAGCTGCCTTGTGAAACCAATAATAAACCCAGCAGTGGTACTGAGCTACTTAATGCCAGTGAATTACCTAATTATCATCATAACAAATTCAATTAGCTAAATTAAGACATTCAACTACAATAAAACAATGAGAATTTATAATAGCATCACAAAGCTCCGAACAATATGGATCATGACCGTAGTTAAGATATTGGTTGTGAATAATATATTCCATTTGATAAACAGCATGGGAGACTTGCTGATTCCTTGATGCCTTTCATTGCATCATTTCACAATAACTTAGAAAGCTTCATCCCCTTGCAAATATCAGCAATGTTAACACATTTATCGCAGGAGAAAAATCAATAATAAATAAATATACATGCACATCTTTCCCCAAAGGATGTGTGTAATTTCTTTAACTAAATTACTGTAAATAGCTGACAGGAGAGACACCCAGGGACTCAATCTTCAATTCGTTTTATTACCAGAACCTTTGCACGTGTTTTGCTTTTCTTTTCTTAAAAAAAAAAAAAAAAAAAGTACTTAACGAATGTAAATGATTCTTAAATGGTTTTCCAGATGGAGATTAATACCTCATCCAGGAAAAAAGAGAAAGTCTCGATCAAACCTTTAGTACTAAAAAGAAAGTCCTTTGATGCTGTGATTACACACAGGTCACACAATGGAAAAATGGAATGAATGGATGTATTGATGTGAGAAGAGATGAAAGAAGAGGCCAAACGGATGAAAAACCAGGCAACGCACATTCGGCATAGCTTTACATTTATCTAGGACATTCAGGCTTCATCTCTTTTTGAATCTCCTGAGCTATTTAATGGCTGTTGTTGTCACTGGAAAAACAAACACACTCTTTAGCTGTAAAATGTACATATATGCACATTTTTCATGAAGCTAAGGGGATGGCTTTAATAACATCAAACAAGTCTCAACTCCAAACTCCTACTGATGCTGACACAATGAGACACTCAGTGAAAATACTTTTTATGCAAGTATATATAAGTATAAAATGATTATATTTATTAAAGGGCACAGGATAGAATTTGATGTGAGTTATGTCGTGGAAATATTGCCAATATCCACTACTATATAAATTCTCTTTCATTGATCACCAAAGTGGCCACTGGAGAGCAACGTCCAATGCCATACAAGGCACAGGGCGAGTGTGTGTGTGTGTGTGTGTGTATTGGGGGGGCAAAGAGCTATATTTATTTGACTTCATTCTGCCTGTCTTAATGCAGGGTGCCCCAAGGACTATGCCACAAAACAATTAGCCTGGATTTCATAAAGCAATCAGCATGCCACCTTGTCTAATGCAACCACTTCATACACTGACAGTCTGAATAAAATGGGTGTTATTGAAAGCTTTGTGTTCATGTTAGCTTTTGCCTCGGTGCATTTATGAATCAATTTTTGCCCATAAAAGAAGCTTTAACACTTAAGCTATTTTAGTGGAAATGCATTATGTAAGTTGTCAAATGTACGAGAAAGGCCCAGTAACGATTCAGGGCTATTCAGAATGAACAGCCAACCCCCATTTTTATAATGGTCCTTTTGAAAATGTCTGGCTGAGTGCATGTGTTCACTGTTAAGATGTTGTCAGTCATCTTGCCACTGAAATCTAATCCATGGAAAATAATTTCACATGTGAACACATTTAAAAAGGCTTAAGATTATTAGTTAATTACATTCCTAATTGTTACTCTGAGTGGCATGATCGCAGTAGTGGTAATTACAGCACAAAACGATAATATGATTTTCATTATCAAATGTGTGTTGTGCTGTTGATTAGGAGTGTTTATGTTGGACAGGATGGG